TTGGTCTGGGCCAACCTGTGCCTGGAGGTGATGGGACGGGTCAGAACTTTTGGAGGCGCCAAGAACACTTATCCAGCCACACAGCCTGTCGCCACAAAATGCCAGAGCCGGAAGGGACCCTGGCGACTAATAGTCTCACACCTGCTTCCCCAGCATTTCTTCTCGGACCAGAGAGGGGGAAATGTTTTACGGGACTCTGAGAAGGCAAGACCTGGGGTTCACAGATGCGCTGTGGGATAAGGAGTCATCAAAATGCTGTTCGAGCCATTTAGCACTAGAATGGACTAGCGAACACATTCTCCCACCAGGCTGAGTGTTAGTCAAGCTTTAGTGAAGACATTGTACCCTTGGCTTGAGGCTCTGCAGCTTAGGGTTTAGAACACTGTGGGGTGGACCAGAAGGAAAGTCCCTGACTTAGAAGTGTTGAACTGTCCACTGTGTGGCCAGCACTATGCTAGGACCAGGTGGGATGAGAAAAAGTATTTTTAAAAAATACAGAGTTCCTCACCACAAAGAGCTTTCACTATAGCTGGAGAGATGAGACACAGAACACTGAGGGAACACTGTGCTGACAGATGCAATCAGCTGTGTAGTTGTGTGCTGTGAAGGAAAATGGGAATTCAGGAAAAGTGTGGGATGAGATCACTGTGAGCCTGACTCATCAGAGAAAGTTTCGTGAAGGAGTTCAGACTTGAGTTGGCCTTTGAAGGCTAGCTGTGATTTGGATTTGTGGAGAGGAGGGGAAGGAGAGGGATTCCTGGTAGAGGACGTAGCAAGAACAAAGGCTTGGGGACCTGAAGAAAAAGGGTGACTGGGAGGCCAGGAAGGAAAAGAGCTTGGATGGAGTAAGATTGGTGCCAGGGAAGTCATAGGGGATAGGCTGGGAGTGGGCAGGGGAGAGAGAGCCTTGATTGCTCGGTGTAGAATGAGACACAATCTCAGAAAGGGCTCTCCTGATCAGGAAAGTGATAGGATGTGTTGGGAGCCTTGAGAGATTAACATGGAATGTGTGGGGAGGATGTGTAGGGAAGGTGAGAGGAGACTTGAGACCAGTAGCGTGTTGCAGTGATTTCAGATCAGGGTCAGGAACGTGTCTGGAGCAGAAGAACTCAGCAGTTTTTAAGACCCTGAAATGCTTTTGGGGCCCAATGACGACAATAACCAAAACAATTTCAGTGAGTGTTCATAGAATGCCTAGCCTGGGGTACGGGGGAGTATAGCTTAGTGGTAGAGCACGTGCTTGGTGTGCACAAGTTCCTGGGTTCAATCCCCAGGGCCTCCACTGGGGGGAAAAATCAAATAAAATAAAACAATAAAGGGTGAACTTAAAAAAAAGGCCTAGCCCACACTCAGACCGTTTTTCATTTTCATAAGAGAAAAACAGCGACAGCAGAATTCAGAAGTTCCTGACCACAAAGGTTAGGAGACATTCAAATAGGTGTTGCCTCTGCCCCTCACTCCCCAACTGAGAAATCTGTCAGAACGCAAAAGGGCCCTTCCGCTTGGTGACAGGAGGAGTGAATGAAATGGCTCGTTGACATTTCTTTCAGGTCAGGGACCTGGGGCTCATCCACCTCCTCTGTTCCCAGCCCACGCCTTGGTCTCTGGACCTCCTTGTCTTGTAGGTTTTCACACCAGACCCTGCAGCAAACGCCCATGATAGGCACCATGGCCCAGCTGGGCGCGCAGGGCGTCCAGGCCGGCGTCCGGTCGGCTTCCATTATGCCTGAGCAGCAGCAGCAGCAGCAGCAGCAGCAGCAGCAGCAGCAGCAGCAGCAGCAGCAGCAGCAGCAGCAGCAGCAGCAGCAGCAGCAGCAGCAGCAACAGTACCACATCCGGCAGCAGCAGCAGCAGCCAGCAGCAGCAGCAGCAGCAGCAGCAGCAGCAGCAGCAGCAGCAGCAGCAGCAGCAGCAGCAGCAGCAGCAGCAGCAGCAGCAGCAGCAGCAACAGTACCACATCCGGCAGCAGCAGCAGCAGCAGATCCTGCGGGTGAGGCTCTGGGATTCCATCTGGGACCTGGGACCCCAAGGAGGAGGAGGAGAGGCACAGGCTCAAGGGTGCTTCTCAGGGTGCAATGAGGCAGCAGCTGGCATGCAGTGGGAGCTTAAAAAAACAGTTTCCTCCCCTCCCCACTTTTCCCAGGGGTCCTGGTGGGAGAGAGTTGGGGGATTGTCTGCTGGGTACTCTAGATTTGATTTTCCCTGCAGCTCTCTAAGCAGGGAGGGCAGGGGACCCAGAGTCCCCTCCATCTGCTTCACTCCTTTCCCCATCCCTCCGCCACTGAGGCTCAGCCCCATGGTCTCCTTAGACCTGCATCTCTCTCCTGTCTTCACAGCAGCAGCAGCAGCAACAGCAGCAGCAGCAGCAGCAGCAGCAACAGCAGCAGCAGCAGCAGCAGCAGCAGCAGCAGCAGCAGCAGCAGCAGCAGCAGCAACAAGCACACCAGCAGCAGCAGCAGGCGGCTCCACCCCAGCCCCAGCCCCAGTCCCAGCCCCAGGTAGCTGCTGGCCAGCCCCAGGCTCAGGGACAGCGTCCCAGGGTGGGCAGGAGGCCAGTGAACCAGATGGGGGAAAGGTGGGAGGCAAGGCAGGGCCCTCGACATGAGGATGGAGAAGGACACTCAAGGTTCGAGTTCCATCTTCCACTTCCCATTTTCAACTCAGTTCCAGCGCCAGGGGCTTCAGCAGACGCAGCAACAACAACAGACAGCGGCTTTGGTCCGGCAACTCCAACAACAGCTCTCCAGTAAGCCCGCCTTCCTTCCCTAGGAGAGCCCCGTGGAATCACTGGTGGGGGCAGTGGGGGAGGCCAAAGTAGCTGAGGTGGCTGCTTCCAGCCCAGGTTGTGCGGGAAGCGTTGCACTCTATCCCCTCCCCTGAATGGCTCTCCTCATGCATGCCCACGGCCCCTGCTTGGCCTCCCACCCCTGACAATCTCTGGTTTTTCACAGATACCCAGCCACAGCCCAGTACCAACATATTTGGACGCTACTGAGCCACCCGGAGGAACTGCTTGTGCACTGGATGTGGCCCCACCCTTTCTTCTTAATCCCCAGCCCCCTTCCTGGGCTAGCACCAGTAGTGGTTGGGGCTCTTCCCTCAGGCTCCATTTTTAATGAGTTTTTAGTATTTTTGTTAATGTGAGGCATTGAGCTGTTGGGTTTTGTATATTATTTATATAGAGACCCCAGAGCTGTTGCACCCAATACACAGAGCTTCTTTGCAAAGGGAGTGTGTGAGTTTTGCATGTCCGGGAAGGGCGGGCTCTCGGAGCTGGGTTGGGGGCTGGACTGATGAGTCAGAGCCTTCATTCTGTAGGGATCATCTCCCCTATTTATCTTCTACCCCCCAAATTTTAAAACTCTAATTGGATCGCTACCCACTCTTCCCTTCTCCAACCTGCCAACACATTAAGGGTTGGGACCTTAGTCTCTTAATGAGGACAGCATACCTCCTTGGCTGGATGGTCCGGCTGCTGTATGGCTTTTCTCCCTGGGAGCGTACACCACTGGGGTTGGGGAGGGGCCGTTGGGCCAGAGGAAAAAAAATCACCGGAACCTGATTCTCCTTCCACCTGACACATGTGCTGGGTTTTGAACAAGCTTCTGGGTAGAGGGTGTGACGGACATGGCCTTCTCTTTTTGCCACCTTGTGCGGTCCCCGTCATGCACCAAGTGGTACCCTAGACAGAGAACTTCCCTGAGTCACATTTGTGGGATGAAAAATTGCCCTCTGTTGGCAAGTGTCACCATCAGATAGGTGGTGGAAGGACAGACAGTATGGTCCTAAGAGGAAAAGAAACGAGCCAAAGGAAGCACCCTTTTCTCTGCTCTCGCTGGAACGGCTTGTTTGCACACGACCCACCTTGTCAGTTACCCCGGATGACTTGCTCACTTGTATTTTACAGTAGAGAAAATGCAAAACTGGCTGCAGAGTCACATTTGGAGCTGTGGCAGGGCCATTCTCAGCCCCCTTGCCTTCAAGTTTGGGGCGCTAGATCTAAGGCTCTGCAGGAGAGCCAACCGGTTTACTACAATGGAGTCTTCTGGTGTGCCCAGCTGGGGCTGGAAGAGGGCCAGCCCCAGCCTCGTGGGTGGGTGGTACCGGATGATTTGACAACTTCAGGACACCGTCCAGGCCGTAGAGTTGTACTCTATCACTGGGAAGTGTCAAGTGTGCTGGTAACACCAGGAGCATCAGTCAATACCCAAGTTATAAAATTTTTAAAAATTAAATCCCTCTTCAAAGTCCACAACGCTCTTGCTCAGATGGGACTTAACCAAGTTTAAGAGTTGTGTGCGCAAGGAATGGAAATCCCCGACGGTAAAGGTGAACGTGACTAACTGAAGCTTACTTCTGACCAGTTCTGTCCCTGGCAGGAACATTCTGAGGAGCTATGAGGGTGGAGGTTTGGCTGGGATAAGGGACACTCAAGAGGGGCTTGGGGGCAGGGGCTGAACAAACGACAGGTGCACAACACACAGAAACACAAGACACAAAGACAGCCGGATCTGGAGGGGAGACACTGAAATGGTTGGACAACTGGCATGCTGACAGTCCAAGTCTGACATGCCCCTACAGAAGCAGCAGAAAGGAACAGCACTGACCTTTGGGAGAGTGACGGGATGAGGGCAAAGCGCCCCCCCCCACCAACCTACTGGTTGCTGCTTGAGCACTGGTGCTGAGGAGAGGTGAGGGATGCTGAGTGAGGCAGAGGCGGGTCTTTGTGGAGGATGACTGGAGACTGCTGCAGGCGGTGCCTCAGTTTCTCCCTTTGTTTCAAGGTCTCAAGCTTTGCAGGTAAAGTTTGGACTCGCTGCCTAGGACGATCACCTGTCTGTGATTTGAGGGGTATGTGGGAGAGAGAAGGAGAGACAGCTTAAGCAGAGCGTGCTTGAGCCTGAGAGGAAGTGGGCCATGCCCCAGGACTTGAGCCATCTCTGGCACAAAAGGAGTTAATGGCAGGGACCGCGCCCCCCGTGTCCGGGCACGCGCAGCGCGCCCCCTTGGTGCGCGGGCACAGCAGCCAGGCTGCCGGAGAGCAGATCTCGGGGATTCGGGTGCGGAGCCCTTGGCCTGGAAGCGATATGGGTGGTCCGTGGCCCGGTTCAGTCGCTCGCAACAGCCTGGGGAACAGGTGAGGCCGCCTGCCCCGGTCTCTCATCCTCTAGCTGCCCATACCTTGCCTCGATCCTATCCTCTCCCCATCCCGGGGTCCTCCACTCCCCAGTCAGTGCTCCCCAACCTTCTCAACCCCATGTTCTCCATCGGCACCCCTGACCCCGCAATCCTCCCCCGCTTCTCTTTTCTTCTCCACCTCCTCCCTGAATCCTGCATCCCTATCATCCTCCTGTCCGTGGTCCCTCTATTTCCACAGCCCGGGCCGCATGCTCATCAAAATACCCCTCCTGAGGGCCCCCAGCCCCATTCCTGAACTGCACATCGACAGTCCCCCTCCCCCGCAGTGCAGCCCCATCCCTCTTCCATCATAGCATCTCACAGCCAGGCTCCCTCCCCCACTCTCTGCAGCCCCCCCCATCAACAGAGGCCTTTATCCTATCCTCCCCCATTCCAATGCAGCTCCGTCCCCCAATACCATTCTGAACCCGCGTAGCCCCCAAAATTGCAATTCTCAACACCAGTCCATTCCTGCACAATGCCCCTCGCCCAACACTGCTCCAGCCCCAGAAGTACCTCCAGATGCCATTCTAATCCCCGGCATTGCCGCCTCCCCTTGTCTTCTCCCAAATTGCAAGTTGGACCAGGATGGAGATCTTGGCCTTGGGGACTCACAGTGGGTCCTAGGGTACAGAGGGCGTTTGGGGGTCGGTCGATTTGTCTAGGTGTTCCCGGGGGAGGGGCTGCAGGGAATTGACTCAAATGGGAATGGCATTTGGCGCCGAAGGGTTACTGGAGAGGGAGGCATCCTGAAAGGGTTAATGGAATTTGCGGGGAGGGGTGGCACCGAAAGGGTTAATGGTGTGGGGGGGGGTTGCTGGCGGGGAAGCCGTGTGAATGAGCGGTCTGTGCCCCAGAGTTGCCATGGAGACGGTGAATGGGGGGATTGTGTGAACTCAGCTGCGGACTATCCCCCCCCCATACACACACACACACACACACACACACACACACACACACACCCACTCCCTCCTGCCCCACCTCCCTACTCCTACCCCTTCCTTCCCCTTCCCCTCCTCCCCCCCACCCCGGGTGCATTCTGGGCTGTGTCTGGGATCTAACCACCCATACTTTGCTCCCCATTTCCTCAGAGCCCCCACCCCTTTAGTTGCTTTGCCCGCCCTTCCTCCTCCTCCTCCTCCTCCTCCTTCTTCTTCTTCTTCTTCTTCTTCTTCTTCTTTCTCTCTCTCTCTCTTTCTCTCTCTCTCTCTCTCTCTCTCTCTCTCTCTCTCTCTCTCACACACACACACACACACACACACACACACACACATTCTCATTCCCCTCTCGTGGTGGCCGATTGCCGGGCGTTCCCAATCTCCCTCCCCCACCCCTTCAGCTAGTTCTTAAAGGAACAGGCCTACAATCTTGGAAGGCGGGAGAAATGGGGGGAAATGAAATTGTGTGTGTGTCCACGTGGGAGTGTCTGTGTGTGCTGGTGTATATGTGTTGACCGTATAACCATTGTGTCAGAAGGCCTGCGTGCCTTGAGTGTGTGGCTATTTCTGTTCCTGTCTCCACCTATGTGTCACCGTCATGCTGCATGTGTCTTTGGATATTTACCTATGCGGTGTGTATGATTACGTTTCAGTAAGTCTGTGTGTGTCGCTGAATGTATCTCTGTGATTCTCTGGCTCTGTGAAGCTCTCTGTCTCAGAACGTGGGACTGTACGAGGGGATCTCTATGGATTTGGAATGTATGTCTCTGTGAGTGAATATCACAGTGTCTGTGATCCTGGCTTGGTCTCTGTCACTCCCTCTTTGAGTCTTTGTGAGTTTATTTCTCTGACTTTCTGAGTGTGTGTCCTCCACACTCCGTTGTTTCTTTTACACTGGCTGAGCAACCACAATGCCTAGGGTGCTAGGCAGAACACTTTCTGCCTCAGTTTCTGGCACCCCATGTGAATTAGAGATAGCCCACAGAAAGGACCAAGGCTTAAGGATTTAGGAGCAGTGAGGGCTGAGGAGAAATGTACAGGATGGTCTGGGGATTCTGATGAATGGCCATCCTGCCCCTGCCCTGCCTGAGGGAGAGGGGGGATCTCTCCGTGGGACCCTTTGCCTATCCACTGCTTTCCCTTCTTCTGTCTTTGTCCTGGAATGAGGTTCTCAATTCTACCTTCTCCTGATGTAGCGGTCCCTGTGTGGGGTGACAGTCCCAGGGGCTAGAGAGCTCAGTATCCCCACAGTGTGCCCGGGGACCAGAGCTCCACTTCCCTGTGCTCCTCTGGCTCCAGCTGACCCCAGTGAGCTCCACTGGCTGAGGAGTTGAAGTTGGGGACTGGGCACTTGCAGTGGCAACTACTGTCCATCTGTCCATCCCCTTTGGCTTTTCCAACTGCAGCCAGGTGCAGCGAATGGCTCTGACTGGCAACAGAGATCATCTGTGGGTCCCTGGAACCCGGGCACTGGAAACCCCTCCTCCCAGGAGGAGAAGAGCCCAAGCCCAGCGGGGCCCCAAGCCCGACCCCCAGCCCTCCCCAACCATCTTGGATGACGCATCCTTCCCTCTTTCCACAGGCCTGTCTGGCCCTGAGGGAGTCCCCTTTCTGAAGCTGTGGTGCTTGGACGACCTGCTCTCCACGGTGCTGGGCACCTGTAGGTGTCCCTCGAGAGCTCAGTTTTGAGGTTCAAGTCAGTGTGGTCATGAAGGGGCTGCCTGTCGGGCTGATGCTGTGACCCCGGAATCTGCCTTTCCTGCCAGTCCCCCGGCCCGGAACATGTGGCTGCGGCTTGGCCCGCCCTCGCTGTCCCTGAGCCCCAAGCCCACAGTTGGCCGGAGCCTGTGTCTCACCCTGTGGTTCCTCAGCTTGGTGCTGAGGGCCAGTACCCAGGCTCCAGCACCCACGGTCAACACTCACTTTGGGAAGCTAAGGGGTGCCCGGGTACCACTGCCCAGTGAGATCCTGGGGCCTGTGGACCAGTACCTGGGGGTGCCCTACGCAGCTCCCCCAATCGGCGAGAAACGCTTCCTGCCCCCTGAACCACCCCCATCCTGGTCGGGCATCCGGAACGCCACGCACTTTCCCCCAGTGTGCCCCCAGAACATCCACACAGCGGTGCCCGAAGTCATGCTGCCTGTTTGGTTCACGGCCAACTTGGATATCGTGGCTACTTACATCCAGGAGCCCAACGAAGACTGCCTCTACCTGAACGTCTATGTGCCCACGGAGGATGGTGAGTGCGGCCAGGCACTGTGCCCTCCCCGCCTCCCACCTGCCCTGTGGTGTTTGTGGCTTGCATGTGGTGGTGTGCCCTGCAGCATGCCTCTGTCTGTCTGTAAAAAGGCTTCTCACCATCACTCTGCTTGGCCTCCCCCTTCCTCCTCCCTGTTCTTCCCTCTCCCAGCATTGTCTGAGCTCCCATGTGTGAGTGAACTGTTACCAGGAGGGGCCTGGCCAGGCCTGAGAGCTTTGACAGGTCTAGGGCCAGAGTGCTGGCTGGGGGTCCCCTGGGGGAGTATGGGTCACGGCTGGCAGCTGCCCGCGGGAGGATGCTGGTTCCACCGGGCCCACCCACCCCCATCACCATTCCACCTGCTCTGAGGGGTGGTAGGTGCGTGTGGCCGAGGAAGCTGGGTGTGTGGGGGGGCTGGGGGGCAAGCCCGGTGGGCAGTGCTTAGGTGCCTCCTCTTTCACTAGCTGATGCCTCCTCCCGCGGGGGTCACACTAAGGTAAGTGACAGAAACAAGGAGATGGTGGGACAGGCTCTCTGCCATGTGCCGCCTGCAGAGCAGCTCTTGGGGCCTGGGGGGGTGGGGGGGTGCATGCCCCTGGGCAGAGGCCTCCTGTTATTTTTTAGTTTTTTATTCATTTTACAGTAAAGCGGATTTCCAAGGAATGCGCCCGAAAGCCCAACAAGAAAATTTGTAGGAAAGGAGGTAGGTAGCGAGCCGGCGGGGAGGGAGAGAGAGAGAGAGGGAGGGCTGCCTGCCCACCTGCCTTTGCCCCTGAAGACCCAGCCTTCCTTCAAGTAGCCCGGGCTAAGGGG